TTCTGTTGTTCCCCTCATGCCTGCTTCATCTGTCAGAGGCACCCAGAACTGAGTGTGGTGTTCTAGGCATAGCGTTGCCAAGGCCTTTGAGCCTCTAAAGGAAAGCCCTAGAGATGCACCATTTATCAATCAGACAGCAGCTACCACTGCCTTTTTCCATGTCTGCATTAAATTGGAGGGTGCGGATGTGAGAAACGGTGCCTATTCAGTCTCCTTGCAGATGGTCAAACCACAAAGTACTCAAGTGAAGCCGCACACATCCTTCCAACCTCACTGCCTTGGCTAAGGCCCAAACCACCCACCGGTGGAGTCACATACTCCGTGCCAGCACCAGCCTCTGAGCAGAGGAACTCAGCCTGCCCCTTCTGATGGCTGGGTAAGAGAAATCTTGGACCTGAATTTGTTCAGTGCCCTGGGAACAGAGAAAAGAAGAGATCATGTCACAAACTATCAGACTTTCAGAAATGAACTTGCTTCTAACATAAGCAGCTCAACTCAGTGACCTTCAGTGGTGTTATGGCTGCCTATGCATTTCAGTGCATTTAACCCAAGGACCAAGTTTCTTCCTTTTCAGGAGAAAAATGAGCGGCCGTACATTTGTCTGATCTATTCTATTTACTGTGCAGAATCTCCAGGAGCAGCTTTGGGCCAAAGTGGATATTAAATGGAGAGAACCAAATGGTTCAAGACCATTTGCTCACAAAGACTCCCTCAGTAAAATTTACCTCTTCTCTCAGCATTAGAAACTCCTGAAAGTTCATCTAGTTAAAGGACCACAAAGCACGTGCACGTTGCTGGAGCAAGCACTTTTGCTCTGCCCTAGCCTGACCATAAGGTCTAGGGGAACAGCAGGTAGGACATTGCCACTGGCCTTACAGCTGGGATCTAAAGTGTCTTTGCAATACAAAGTGAAAGGATTCTTCCTCTGGCACAAATCAAGATTTTAATGAACTAAAAATCATATACAAAGTCTAGTATTTAAACTAGTGTGAGATCAAAGTGAGATTCAGTAAAACAAATTCTGCTGCTTTATCACTTACCATGTTTGAAAATAACTACAGCTAATCACTATCCATCTCAAGCAATAAGTCTCTTTTACTTCTGAGCCTCCTGAGCCGCAGCACTCGTCTGTACCCGTTTGTGCCTGTTCTGTAGCCTTTGCTCATACTGCAACTGTCCTGGCAACACATCAAAATACAGCCATTTCCAATATATGCACTGCAATTTGAGACACTTCGATATTCCAGGTTTGATTTTGATGTCATGGAACTGATCAGGTTTAGGAGAGAAAAGGGGACAAAATGTCATGAGCTTCAGCACACTAGAACAACGGTAAATTCAAGTAGAACACAACACACTGGAAAATTCGTAATACTGAAGAACAATTTCATATTAAAAAGAAGAGCCGCATTTTTAAAATGTCACTCTAAAACTAGCTGTTTCATAACCAATGACCCTGCAGGATGCAAATGAGCTGGAAAGGTATCATGGAAGCATGCAAAGACATTTCTGGGCCTGCATCAAACCCTCTGTAAAGCCTGGCTACCAGGCACATCAGACAGCTGCACTCACCAGTAACTACTGATGCCAGTGGCTGACTGGACTGGGACCAGGGCTGGTTAATCTGTGCTGATCATACTCTAGAATAACAGAAATCACAGTGGAGAAGGCGGCCATAAGATCACAGTTTGTTTCCGTCTACAACTTCTACATACTTCTCACAAGGGAGCCAGTGACTTCCTTTATAGAGCAGACTATTTGGGTGCACAAGGAGGGTCCCTGTTTAACTTTCTCTGACTAAGTAGGTGGCTTGGTATACTTAACAACACATTATTCAGTCTTTCCCCCCACCCCCCCTTTTCATCAGGGAGCCTTGGGGAGATCAGAAGGAAGTCAGGAAAGAAAGGAGTGCGACCAGACAGCAAGTGGTGGCTGATGGGCTGCTCCTCAGTCCAGGGGAGCTCCGAATCCCAGAGGGAAAGCAAATCCATGGGGCCAGTGCCAATGCCAGTAAAATGGAGCCAGAAGAGCACCATCAGGGTAAGGATTTATCAGCCAGCTCAGACTAATACGTACACTTTCCACTGCTCCTGGAGGAGTCTGTCTTTCACGGACCAGCACAGTCTAGCTCACGGGAGTGCTGGCCCAGATTATGCCACCTGCATTTCTAACCGCTTGGTGGAGTTAGTGCATCCCAAAGTAATCTAACACAGGGCAATGATATTGCCCTTGGATCTGTCCTTTTTAGCCATGAAAATAAGTTAATGTTGGTGTAATTAGAGAGTGACCATTATTTGCCATCAAGCTTCATGAAAAATGTGAGGAAAGATGTATGTATTTTAATTAAGTTCCAGGGGGAAAAATTGTACCTGGCTAGACTGCAAAGAGATGAACTCATTACTTCATCCGTGTCTCAGTCTGCTGCTGATTTCCTTCTGCAATAGCATGATCAGTCTAGGTTGCAGTCAGTGATTTTAAAAAGCAAATAATCATTCTGAAAGAGCCAGGCCAGCATTTTATAATTGCTAAGGCTCTGAAGTGGAAGTCTTCATAGAGCCACATTTCTGGTGAGACTGATGGGCAACTGTTTGAAATCTTTGAAATCTGAAGGGAAGTGTTCCCCAAATCAGGGCATCAGGAGGGGACCCAGATGGAGCTGCTGATTGTTCTAACAGTCAGATGGCTTTTTACAGCTGCCAGACTTTTCCATAGATTGCACAGGTCTGACTTATTGCTAAGAAACAGCCTGGGCCAGAGCTGTCCTTTTTGTCTCAGGAATGCACAGCTGCAAAAGTGCGGTCTCTGTTCATTTTGTGGAACGTGGCTCCAGGAATATGAATTTGAATCTAAGCCATTAAGGCCACAACGTAAACAGGGTCACGTTCATAATCATGCTAAGTAACAACGAATGTGGGATGTGCAGGTGTGTGGTGCTGATACCCTTTGGGTATGCAGAAAAAAGAAACGTAACAACAATCATCCTCTATCTGAACAGCAGGAAAAAAACCCCAAACCTCTAATTCTATCCAGAAATTTTCTAGGGAGAAAAGAAAGAAACAGCAATCATAATCAGCCTCCTCTCCCCAGACAGTCAGCTGAGCAACCTTCCACAATGGAAAACAGTTTCTTCTTTTCTCAAACAAATAGATCCCCCTGTGAAAGTCACTGTTCCTCTACAGAGAGTCAGATAGCACGTCTGTAGGCCTTTTAAAGACTAAATAATCTGTTTGCCATTATTGCTTCTTGTATGATTAGACCAGAGCAGGTAGATCTCATGCTTAAAGAGGCTAGTTGATAGTCCCAGGGGTCAGGAACGAAATCCCATGTACCCCCTCATTGGCCAGCCACAGCCAGCCAGATGCACTGACATCCCTCTCCAGCCAAACATTTCCACATACGTTTAATCCCCACGGAAGTCAGTGAAACTTAAGTATGTCCTTAAAGTTAAGCACCTCATTAAGTGTTTTGCCAAACAGAGAGTCTTGTGGAGTGAGCCACAAAGGTGGCCGAGGTAATGCATTT